GTCTAACTTTAAATATGAGCAAGCCTACGAACTATAGACATACCCAATCACAAAATAAACCATAATAAAATATAATAGGACCCAGCTCAGTAAATCAAACACATTATTAGTTTATGGAAGAAGACCTAAACTCTTCGTGTGTAAGGCACTAAGGCATAGGTGGATGGATATTATGGATTATTATTATTAATCCAGTGAAACATTAAATTTTATTTTTGTAAAAAGAAAAAAAAAGGGGAGCTTTGTTGATGACTTGATAATTTCTTATTAAATTGAGTAATTTACTATATAATGGATTAATAACTAGTCAAGGCAGAGCACACAGGTCTTACTTTCTAATGTGAATTTATTGATAAGGAACATATATATCTTGCATTCTTGTAATTGTTTGTTTTAATACTTGTGTGAAGCAAACTTTAATAGATTATTGACTGTGAAAATGTGTTAGAGTTTGGAAGTGTAAATGTATTAAAAGGTTGGGTAAAGTACACTGACACCCCCTGAGGTTTGGGATAAGGACAGCCAGATGAAACTTAGCCTATTTTGGGACAAAGGCACCCCCTCAAGTTTCATATAATAACCAAAGACACCCCAATGGTAATGAGTTGACATTTCTGTCCTTTGACTTTTATATTGACCATGAAATGACAATTCTATCCTCAGATACCCGTTCCAATTTCTCTCTCTCTCCTCTGTTCTCTCTTCCGCCGCCCCAACACCAACGCACACACATACATATATACACAGACACATACACATATATATATGTATATACAAATACATATATATATATACACACACATATATGTATGTATAGACAGGTGGCGATGGTGAATGGATGCGGGCCTTTATCCTTCGATTCCATTGGTGAGCTTACCCAACGCCGGAGTACGCAAGTCATGAGTTGGGCTTAATGGCAGCGGTGGCAATAGTTGTTCGACGAGGGCGACGGTGAGTGCTCTCGCTTGGTTGATTCTCTCTGTCAGGTCTTGATATATCCCACGGCAGCGCACAACATTGGAGCCATCAGTCTGACGAAGCTTCAAACTACAAGACCCGATTCTGTCCAGCGAGCCCCAAATCCGGTGAAGCCTAGTTCAGATCGACGAACCCAAGCACGAACAGTTCCCGCGACCCAGAAGAAGAGAATGAGGTTTCAACAGATTGAGAGGGATCGCAGAGAACTGGGTGGTTGCGCCGCCTTGCGTAATCGGAGGGTATGCTGAGAAGGGTACGCAGATCTGACTCTACTTTCTGGATGATTGAGAGGAACTCTTTCCCTCTGTGGCTCATTTCCATCACGCTCATTCTGGTTCCACGCCAATTTTAGAGCTCAGATTTGGCCATCTTGGGCACGTTTTCAGGTAGAGTGGCTGGATTGGCGGCGAAATTGAAGACCCGATCTTGGGATTTGGAGGTGGAGGTTGGGCGATCTTGGACTTGGGTTGTTGAATAGGTGATCGATATGGGTTTGTTAAGGCACGAAGATAGGTTGAGGGGGAAGCCATTGAAGTGGGTGGTGGTGATTGTGTTGGGGCTTTTGAGAAGGTGAAGGTTAGGGTTTTTCAGGAAGAGAGGATGAGGTGAAGTTGTTGACGTTGCCATGGTGTTTTTGAAGTTGTTCACATTGCCATGGTGATAGACCAAAAGGTTGATCCTTCCCTTCCATTGGAGAGCTTGAAGGCACGGTGGTTTGGGGGTGGGTGTTGGTGGTTGTGGAGTTTTGGTGTGGTTGCTGCAGAATCCGGTTGTAGGATTGATGGGGTGTTGAGGGTAATTTGGTCATTTAATTATTTTAATATTTTATAATTAAAATTAATAAAATAGTGAAGGGTAATGTTGACTTTTCATATGTTTTAAGGCTCTGTTTGGCTTGTAAATATTATGAGGGGGTGTCATTGTCCCAAAACAGAGCAAATTTCATCTGGCTGTCCTTTTGACAAACCTCAGGGGGTGTTAGTGTACTTTACCCTAAAAGGTTATAGGTTATTGGGTCTAATTGAATAATTGATGCATGATAATTATGTATTTAGAGCATGGATGATACATTAAGTAATCATAAGTTTAATTATTTTTGGCCCTCATTACTTTGCAATCTTAGCTCCGCCTCTAATTATTATTATTATTACTACCGTTGAATTAAGCTTCCGCGGGCTTAATTTAAGTGTTCAGTCACACACAATACTACAACTGTATAAAGTTAGCTTTTTAGTGGTTGAACAATGAGTTTGATGGGATGCGGGTTCACCATATTTCTATTATTTTAGGTAATTGATTAGACAAGTAAAACCACGTCAATTTTACGCATTTATTAATTTCATATTTTCTAAAACTTATCAAAACCTCTATTATATTAAACATATAATTTTATTCCAGTGATTTCAGTGGACGAATATTGTAAGCAATCTATTTTTAACCATTTTGACGGCAATCTATAAACCTATTTTTTTTGGATTAATTTTGATTTCAACATTTAATGGAGGATGATCTCCACTAACTTGAAACCCTTTTTGAAGTTGAATATGATGTATTAGACTCTAATAATCATAACTCATTGTATATCAGACTCTGGTCTCCTTTTGTTCAAACTTCTTATAGTCACGAGTAGTATTCTACAAACTCGTTAGAACACACATGAATATAAGACTCTAGACTTCTAAAGAATACATATAATAGCTTCCGGGTGCTTGATTGAGTTGGCAAGGTAACGACCTGAGAATGCTCATGTCTCAGGTTTGAACTTGTCCATTGTTATTATAACCCTCGACTGAAATTATTGCTGAGGTGTGGGGTCGTCGACAATATTTCCGATTTGTAGCCTGGGGTGGGTTCCGAAGGGCCTTGGTGAGTTCCGGCGCCAAAAAAAAAATATATATATATTTGAAATAAGAAAGAATACATGGAATATACCCAACACACGTGAATTGAAGACTTTAGACTTTTAAAATATACATGAATATGGAACATTTTAGAACATAAGACTTTTAGAGGGTAATTGAATTGAATATAGAAAATTTTAAACTATAAATTTATAGATTTTTAAAATAAATCTTAAATAAATATTACAAAGAATCTACTGGTAGGGTTTGTCCTTCATCAGGAGGTGAAACTGGCTTGATATCTTGTGATTCATTTACAAAAGGTTACTTACCACGCTCCATGTATAATTAGAAGTCATCAATGAATATTTTTGTGGATGAAAGTTTGATTTCATGTAATTCCATATTAAAATCTAATGGAGAATTATCTCTTTGCATTGTTTGACTATAGATGTAATTTTTTCTTTTCTGTTACTTTATATATTAGTAAGTTTTTCTTTTTGTTTTTGAATTACATACTTATAAAATTTTAATCTTACCTCCCGAAATTACAAAAAAAATCCTACCCAATTTTCTGCGTCCGATTTGTATGATTTTTTTTTTTAATAACAGTCGTTTAAATACAAGCAACGTAATGATCCATGTTCAATTTATTTATTTTTTAATTCAAAATAAGTTAATTTTAGAGAAAGGTCATAAAAACCTTGCTATTTGATAACTGCATTTGTTTTCAACTGCTGCTTGAGTTTTAATTTTTAAGATCATAATATCATATTAATGGGTCTCAAACATGATAGTGCATAAATCATTCTTGGCGATGACATGATCTTTTTTTTTTTTTTTTGATAACAGAAAATTTTAGGAAAAAAAAAAAAAAATGTAGTAATAATAAGATAAAGAAAGGAATAATTTTGTAGTGCTGATTGTACCTGAGTCCGGACGGACCAAGAAATTATGTAAAAGGGCCTTCAACGATAGAATACGTTGTGACGGAAAATTTTTTGTAAGGGGGCAGCCCTTAACAATATGATAAGAATGTTGCGGAGGGACATTAAAAGGGATGTTTTTTTTTTTTTTTTTTTTTTTTTTTTTTTTTTTTTTCAGTGGGGAATTTTTATTTTAAAAAAAGAAAGAAAGAAAACAATAGGTATTTAATACCAAATACTTTTATTTATTTATTTTTCATCATTATTATTATTATTATTTCGGCCCCCAGTGCCTATAAAGTAGATCGGTCCTGTCTAGCTTGCCATAAGTCGTAGTAACTTATAAGGTATCAATTTGTATTCAAGTCAATTATTCAAATTATTATTTTTTAACATCTGTCATCCCATCATTGGAAACCAGATCAAAATTTGACATCCCCATTAGCAAGCTTTGCAGTGCAAGTTGTGTGTATTATTATTATATCTAGAAAGATTGGAGCTCTTGGATTTCTCATTTCAGCCTTTGAAGGAGTCTTTTGTGCTGCTATCAGTTGATTGAGTTGTAAAGATCGTAGAAGCCATGGGTGTTTGGTTCTTGAATTCTTTTTATAATTTGAGCACACAAACACAAGCCATGGGATTAGGAGGACACCCATGAATATAAGTGCCAAAATTCTAGCTACAAGAGCTTTCTTTTACAAACATTTTGACTAAATTACCCTTAAATGGTCCATTTGTGGCATGGATAGTTGGGTAATTTTAAAAGAAAAGAAAATAATTGAACCCTAAACTTATATCAAAGGCATCATGAATGTCGTTGTATATATACATAATGCAGGTCTAATCTTGGTCATATATATGTATATATATACATATCTCTAAGCAATGTATTATACTTGCTTGTTTCTTTGGGACATGATATATCTACTAGAATGCAATATTCATTAATTACTTATCGAAATTTAACGTAATACAGTAATAAGACTAGGGTAAATTGTATTAAGTAGGTAGGTGGTCCGGTTCTATGTCTGTCTTGGAGATTATTTAGCTTTGATTAATGATTGTTGTGTTTTTGGCACATGTCTTTTATAAAACAAAAATAAAAGTTTAGGAAAAAAAAATAAAAATCAGAAATTGAAAATTGGAGGCTAATTAAAGAATAACAACAAATGAATGAAGAAAATCGATTTCATGAAATAAATTAGGGATAATTAATTTCATCAAAAGGCAGCAAGGGCTCATATGCATTAATTTGTTAAGGGTGGGAGAATTTGAAAGTAGCGCATTCACCAACACGAAAGGTCTGATTGCTTCTACTTCCATCTCCTCTTTTGTTATTATAACCAGGATAATCCCATTTTGAGAACAATGCTTTCTCAACCAAACGCAGCCCAACTTCCTCTCCTAACTTCTCTATTTCCCACTCATTGTAAGGGTATGTCGTCTTGTGGGTCACGTGCACTTCTCCATTCCATGTCAGGATGACACGTGCACTCCTTAGGAAGCCCTTCACCACCATCTGGTGAGACCTGACCAAATACATGCATGCTTCAACTTAGTTTTCTAGTCCTAGTATAATTTTCATATTAATTAATAGGAATAGTTTGAAAGGTCTTTATGTAGTAATTTAAATTATGAGTCCTGGAAAAATAGTGGCAGTTTGAAAATATAACCAATATTAATGCAACCAAGATAACCTCCACATTATTTCATGTAAAGTGTAAGTAATATTCCCTCCGTCTCAAACTAAGTGTCGGTTTTTGGAAATTGTGACCGACACTTATTTTGAGAGAGAGAGTAATGTTTACATATATTTTGATTAATTAAGCTTAATAAACAATGAATAATGCTTAGCTACTCATCCTTATATGGTCTAATAATAAAATAACACATCACATTTAAAAATAAAATAATCCACACCTAAAAACACTATATACGATTTATTCAATGATTGATCCGAGAAAACAAAAAAAGGTGTGAATTATTTTATTATTAAAACTGATATGTTAATTTGTTATTGACCCACATAAGAGTGAGTAGCTTCACCCTACTCACTGGTGAGTAGCTAAGCATTGTCCATAAACAATTCAATCAAAGTCATCCTCTCGAGTCAAATTAATTAGGCCCAAAATGATTTTCCTTCAACTATTTAATTCGCCCACTTTGTTCAGATGCTAAATTAATTTGGGGGCAAATATTATACTTTGTTCGTATGTATATACATACGCATTCCAAAAGACATATGTGTGTGTATATATATATATGGCTAAAAGATTTTAACTTACAAAATTTGGAGGAAATCGTTTTCACGGCGAGAGAAACCTGCATGAGGAAAATTGAACACTATTCTATCAAATAATTTGGAATTGAGGAATGGGTCACAGCTCATGGTACTGGCATCTACTCCATGCAAAACGGTGCAACCCAGCTCCTTAAGTTGCTCCAAATTGGCTTTCGCAGTAGGATGCTTTATCTTTAACGACTCTTCCAACAGGAAAAAAAAGACAAAAGAACAAAAAAAAAGAGTCAAAATGCGAAAGAGCCAATTATTGTAAGAAAGTAACATGGCCTTCTCAAATCCGTCTTTTTAGTATTGATACACTTGTACTTTCATGTGGGGGCCGACCCATCTATATGGATAAAGGCAAAGATGATGATTACGACAAAAACAATGAGTTCCTCGTGGCCGGGCTGTGTAGAAATTTGCTGATGCATCTTCTAAAAGAAATTGCTTCAATACTAAAACTTCTTGTTCCATGCAAGAATGTAAACACTATAGCTAAAAAATCATGCATATTAGGGCGTACAACATTAATTGTACAGGAAGAGATTGAAAGAAGTGAGCCAAAGCTTTACCTTGTGAATCAAGAGAAGTAGCAACCATATTTACAGCAGAGCCAAAAGCTGTGGCTAAGCAAGCAGAGAAGGAGAAATCACCCTCACCCACTAATAATATCCTATGACAGCTACTGTAGTGCTTTATCCGTCTCTCTCCTTCATCATTTACAGAAACAGCAAATTCCATTTTTCGATGGATCTCTTTTACATTAGAAAAAAAAAAAAGTGTATTTCGATCTTCTATCCACATTTTGACAGTCGCATGAATTTATAGCAATTGTTTGGGATCTTTCGAGTCACTTGTGACATATCTGCTCAGTGTTGGAATTAGAAGCTGAGTACTTGATGTCTCTTTGGATTCATAACTCATAACTATAAGTAGATGCATGCATATATTGGTACGTTGGGAAAATATATATTCTTCTACTTCTCTTTCCCAAGTGATCCATTATTAAAGCCATGACTCTCTGAATACCAATTTGATTATTTGAGTATGGACTACTCGTTTAGTCCATCTATAAAGTATAAACATATCAGACCGTTTCTAATATATATATATATATATATATATATATATATAAGCTTTGAGCATCAACATATAGTGAGCCAACTATATTTTGGTTGCGAATTGTATGTGAAGCTAGTATATATCGGTTGCTTAATGGTCTCATTTAGGCCATCTATGAGCACATATATCCAGAATGCATTTTTGGTTGTCTCGAGGACTACAAGGTACGTTGCAGTTTACTGTGCACCACAGTAATGTTGCCCTGTAGTGCCACTAAAATTGTGTGTGTCCATCAAAAACTGCGTCCAACACTTTTTTTTTTGGAAGCTAAAACAAATTTATTAGAGCAGGAAAAAGGAAGAATATACAAATTGGCCCAATAAAAATGAGCCCAACCCACACGAGACATATGTCAATAGGCCCAGTCCAAATAAAAAACAAACGCAACTCACCCCATTATACTCCCACCATCCCATTTTAGACGTCGCGTTTGAAAATAATGTGAGTCATGGTTCCCGTGATATTTAAAGTGGGACGGATAGAGTATTTAAGAGGAATGATGCTATGCTATTAGAGCACCATTCATCTGCAATAATGAGGGTGGCTAAAAGTGAGGAAGGAAGGTCTCAATCCCCCAAGATTCTAATGGACATCATCTTCCCTCGTACCAACTCCATAATGGAGTGAAGCACTTGGTTTGCGGTCACACATTTTCCTTGGAATAATCTCAGAATCCATTCCCTCCACAAACAATAGATTTATATATATATATCTGGTGGCTGCGAAGCATAGATACCCGGACCCAGCAAAGGTTGAATGTATCTTTCCAATGGTGAGAAGACCATGAAATAAGCTCATTCCAGCTTGAAGGCATAATATGAAACCCACATTTCAAATTCCAAGTTGGTTTGGAGAATTCACATTCAAAGAAAATATGAGAATGAGTCTCCTTCGCATTTCTACAAAGAGAGCAGAAGTAAGGCCAATGGAAGTATAAGGGACTATGGTAATCATGCATTTGGAGCTTCTCTTGTTAAAACAATGACTAGGAATGCATGGTCGCAAATTAACTTGTTAATTGACCAACTTTTAAAACCCATCATCAAATCCTAATAATTTTCCTCCAATTTCAGGATGCTACATTTTGAGATTTCAAATATTACTTTAATTACAATGAGAATGAACTTAAATTTATTCAGTGTTGAAGGTAGTTCTGTGCAAGATGAGGAGATCGTTCCACGTAAGTCAAGGAATCTGAGATAAGTATCTGGAGGTCCAAGCAATACAAGGGACTTTTTGATAGTAAAGATTAAGAAAGGGAAGACTGACCTCGGTACCCATTGAACTCGAACTCAGCAAGATCTGGTTGTTAGGATTGTCGTTATGTCCCTTAAAGGTTGATTAATGCTCCCATTTATAGTGCTTATCTCCTCGGTCAATGTCCCTTGGTCTTTTGGGTGAGCCCGCTCTTACCTGAGAGTTTGAGAGTCCCCCCCTCCTGACAGATGGGACATTGACAAATGGACTGTGGCGTTTTGTCCCTCGGTCCGAAGAGGTAATGGTGCTCCTTAATTAATACGGATCTTGTCAAACATCTTTCATAATTAATGCACTGTGTTACTCTTAGCTCGAGCTCGGGTACCAAATATCCTTTCCCCCATGTATTGGCCTCAAATTGAGGCGATGCCTTGGATCTCAGCCACCTATTCATATGTTCTCAGATTCCCGAACCCAGAATGAGAAAAGAGCCTACTTCGAGGTTCCGCCTTCTTGACCTCGCAGGGCTCTATTCTGACTTATACTTCGAGGTCCCTATAACCAGGAAGGGAAACTTGTAGAGCGAAATGCTTGAGGTCACCTCTGCAGGAGGCAACCTTGGAAGGGCAGGGGGGGGGGGGGGGGGGGAGGGTGTAATACCCCTAATTTTAAAAGGATAGTCTCTGTATTTATTTAATTGATTTAATTACATTTTTATTAAATTATATGTTTATTTGGCAATTTGTTTATATGTTTATTTGAATTACTTGTTTAATTTGAATTGTGTGATTTATGTGACTTAATTGTAAATTGGTTTATTGTTATAAATTGGTTTGTTGTTATGTGTAGTGAAATATTTTAATTGTGTATGTGGTTTTATTTTATTTAATTTAAATTAAAGAACGTGGATTTGGACAGTAGTAATGGACCAAATAATTGGGTCACATGGACTACTAGGATATAAAGCCTATATGGGTATGGAGTATAACCCATGGGCTTTGGATATATATAGATATATTTTTACATTGATGTGTGTAATTATTTATATATAAGGATATTATTATTAGTATTATTATTGCAATTACTATTAATAATAAATATGGAATCATATTGATATATATATGTAAATATTAAAGTGTATATATGTATATACGTGAATAATGATGGTATGTATTATTATTGTTTAGAATTTGTAGTAATACAGGGGAGTTTTAGTAGAATTACATATATATATATATCTATCTATTATAAGAAGGCTTATAATTATTTATTAGTAGTAATATAGTAATTATATTATGTTCTTTTATTTCTTTTTCCCTGAGCTACGTGAGTTGGATTAGAGGAAGGTTTAGGGTTAGTATATAGGGTATATATATATTTGTATTGTCTGCCAAAGGGTGCATAAAAACCTTACTCACATTATGTGAAAGCAGAGAGAATATAGAGAGTTTAGAAAGAGGCTTGGCCAAGGATTAGGGCTGGACCAAGGAGGAAGAAAGAGAGGGTTGTGCGTGGGTTAGGGCATGCAGTAGAGAGGTTGATGGCAGACAAGGAGTCGCCGGAGAACTAGAAAGAAGAAGAATGATTTCATTCTGAAATCTTAGAGGCAAGTTCTATTTTTATCTCATTTTCTTTGATTTGTATTCTGTGCATGCTTAGGACAATTCCAGGATAATTATTTAGTAAAATTAATCATGTATGCATGCTTAAAAGATGAATTACAGTAGATTATGTGTAAGTGTATATGTTTGATTAACTTTTAATTTCTTGCATGATTCTTGATTATAATTTGTTTAAATTATGCATAAGAGGTTCAAATAATGTTTAGGATTGTTCTGGACTTAAAACAATAGCCTTAGGACCCTTAACGGAGGAAGACGTAGTCGCCGGAGCCGTGAAAGACGAACTGTCATAGTTCGGTCGACCGGTTTAGGGCACAGGTCGACTGGTTTGCATGAATTGGTTGACACCTTGGTGATTCGGTCGATCGGTTGGCTGAAACCGGTTGACACCTAAATTAAACCGGTTGACACTTAAAGGAAAAATGTCAATTGGTTATTAAAGCAGTCGACATCTATGATGAATCAGTTGATATCTTTGAGAATCAGTCGACACTTTTGAAAACCAGTCGACATCTATAACTTTAGGTTGACATCTATGACTTTAGGTTGACATCTATAATTTTTAGGTTGACATCTAGAGAGAAACGTCGACCGGTTTGAGGAATTTGTCAACAGTTGGTCCAGTGTTGAGCTGTTTCACTTAGAATGCGTTTGGGGTTATTTTATTAGCATCAAAGTATGTAAATTAGCCCAATAAAGTACTAGATTGCATAATATACCTAATTATGCTAAGTATGGGATTTAATTAACTAAAAAGTTAGTTAGTGGATGTGTATTAAACTGTTTTAAATCAAAGACTTGAAGTTAAATAGTTTAGTTATGCTTTAGGGATTAAATCAGTCTATTTGATGTGTATGTTAACTTTGTTTTCTGTAGTTAAATGCATACTACTTAGAACTATTTTATTACTTAGATTAAATGTAATAATTGAATATATGATATTACTCATGATATTCTGGATTATTTGATGTACCGCTTTATATTTGTATGTCATGAATTGGATTGTATGATTTTATGCACTGATATGGGACGGTGGCATTTTAGGGATGGATTAACCAAAGAAGTTAAGTCTTACTTATATTTATGTCAGGTTAACGAACAGTTAATGACATTACCTTGGTTTTGGATGGATTTATATATATATATATATATATATATATATGAGCTTGAGTCTCAGGATCGATGGTTAGGAAGCGTATATGCAGTGGGATGCTGTAATACCCCTAGTTTTCAAAAGGATAAAATGGGAATGGGAATTTAATTTTCAATTTTGATTTGTATTTCATTTTTTTATTTATTTAATAATTGGACTTATTTGTTATTTGTTTAGCTTAATTGTTTTATTTGCTTAATTGGTAATTGTGTTTGTTTAAATTGATTGTAATTGTTTTAATTTAATTTTTGGTTAATTTAAATATTTGATTATTGTTTTAATTTAATTTTGGGTAGCTTATAAAATTATGTGTGTTGTATTTATAGTTTAGGGTTAGGGTTTTATTTCATATAGTAGCCGACATATCATTAGGCTGGATCTAGGATTAGGGCTTCATAGAAGGCTATATATATATAAAGTTATAAGCAGACTTAGGATTGGGGACGGCAATATATATATATTCTTTTATGTCTGCAACCCTATTCTTGTAATATCTTGAAAAGGAAAAAAAACAGAGGCTCTGGAATGTGAAGAGAGATACACAGTGAGGGTCTTGAGAGGTGAATTAAGGGGATTGTGCATGGGTTGAACCAAGACATAACAAAGGTAGAGAACAGTGATGAGAGGAGGGAACAGTCTTGGAGAAT